AAAGGAAATCTTAGCAGCCATGAGAACATAGCTGATATTTTGTTAGTGCATGCATATAATCTTGTATAGGTAAATTGTCTGTCAATTGGTTATCTTATATTCCTATCTTTACATAGCCTCAACTATTCTAAAATGGCCTTTTCTTAGCTAACAGGCATTAGAAGTTACTGTTTGGAGGGATGGAATGGAATGCCAACAAAGATATTCACGGGGCAAGCCTGTGACATCGCTAATATGTTATACACTTCCTATTGAAGAGAAGGATCGTCAAGGGACTTGCATTAGGTTTTGGCCTGACAAAGAAGGTTTTCATGACTTTGAAGCTTCTATATTTGATATGCTCTTAACTTTTTGTTGTTTCTTAAACTCTCATATTTGGATTTGATGATAACTTTCAGTGTTCACTACCGCAATAGAGTTTGACTACAACACCATTGCTGGACGAATTAGAGAACTTGCTTTCCTGAACCCCAAGGTAAGTATTAGCATTTAGTTTGAGAATCTATATTTTAATTCTTATATGCCATTTGCTAACTTTTCCTCCTATTTAATTTAAGATGTATAATTTTAAGGCTTCTCCTATCTAGAACTTCACTATCGCTTGTCACTTGACTTTTGCAGCTTACTATTACTTTTAAGAAGGAAGATACTGATCCAGAGAAGAATGTATACAACAAATATTTCTATGCAGGGGGTTTGGTTGAATATGTGAAATGGCTAAACACAGATAAGGTTTGTTGCTCCTCCCCGCCCCCCTGCCCCCTTCTTCATCATTCTGAATTTTATATTTTAAGTTTTAACCACAATCTGGTCCTGTGCACTTGCAGTAGCTATGTCCTTACACCATAAGAATAGCTATAAATGAAATGGCCTGGTATTTAGATTTGCTTCTGCCTGTCTTTTCCCCCCTCCCCATCTCTCACCAGTGCTTTCTAAATCTCTGCTGCATGTATCATTAATCCTTTTGGTATTTCATAATCCATAAAATTGCAGACAGTGAATAGTAACCAGTGATTGACTGTTCTTTTCTGCAGAAATCACTTCATGATGTTCTGGGTTTCAGCAAAAAAACAGATGGGATTGCAATTGATATGGCTCTCCAATGGTAAACCATTTATCTTTATGGACACCATTCATAACTAGTGCTGTGTATCATGTTTTGAGAATGTTATACTCAGAACATGTCCATTACTAGTGTTAGCTATTTTCTACATTCCAGTATTATTTCACAAGTTATTCCCTAAATAATCCGTGTTATTTGGTTTGGCTCATTCATCATTTTTCTAGGTGTTCAGATGCATACTCAGATACAATGCTCGGGTATGCTAATAGCATACGGACTGTTGATGGTGGTACTCACATAGATGGGGTCAAGGCTTCATTGACAAGAACTCTCAATAACCTTGCAAAGAAGTCAAAGATTATTAAGGTGGTCCATTCTGCTTCTACTTTTAACCTTTTTTCTTGTATGTATCTTGCCTATGCATTTTTGCTCCAACATCAATTATTTTTTAGGGTACTTCTTTCACTGGTATGAACCATTTGTTATTTCTTTCAGGATAAGGATATTAATTTAGGTGGTGAACATGTAAGGGAAGGATTGACATGCATCATTTCTGTTAAAGTTGCAAATCCCGAGTTTGAAGGACAAACAAAGGTATAACTATTTCTTATGATATTCATGATTTACTGGGTATTTTGGTCATAATGAAATTCCATTTCTGCTCCATGCTTCACCATATTGCTAATTCCTCACCTTGATGCTGTTTCTGTTATCACTGAAGACAAGATTGGGAAATCCAGAGGTGCGGAAAGTAGTTGATCAATCTGTCCAAGAGTTTCTTACTGAATACCTAGAGTTGCATCCAGATGTGCTTGATTCAATCCTTGCCAAGTCTCTAAATGCTTTCAAGGTATCCTTTGCATTACTTTACTCAATTATGTTTCTGGCCTGGACTCCATGTGTCTGCTGCAGTGTATTCATGTCATGGCAGTTTTTTCCTATGGCTTTTGTTTTGTTATCAGGCTGCTCTAGCAGCAAAAAGGGCAAGGGAGTTGGTCAGACAAAAGAGCGTGTTGAAATCTTCATCTCTTCCTGGAAAACTGGCTGATTGTTCATCCACTAGTCCTGAAGAATCTGGTATGTACTTCTGTGGGTCAACCATGAACATCACCATGGCTGATGCTGCTGATCAACCATCTCATCATGCTTTTTAATGGTATTCTGACAAAGTTTGACTGCAAAAATTAGAAGTTGATGGTTGGGTAATAAGATGTAGAATTCAATGTATAACTTTTAGGGTAGTAAATCATGGAGATCCCAGGAAATAGGGATTTGTCTAGTGAAAATTGATCACTTTTCTTGTCCTTGTTGGGAAGTACTAATTTGTTAGTTTCAAAGGAAATTTGTGACTTTTAGTTTGGTTAACTTCCTAAATTTGGAATTACTCTTCATTGGCTTCAAAATAAAGAAAAGCATATTTTAAGCTACCATACTTGAGTGTCCAAATTTGATCTCTATATTTTAATTTGTGCAGAAATTTTCATAGTTGAAGGAGATTCAGCTGGTGGTAGTGCAAAACAAGGCCGTGATAGACGTTTTCAGGTAATATTTAAGCAGCTGTTCTTAGTTTTATAGATGGATATCTTTCAGTTTATGATATTTTTTTCTTCTAACCAAATTCAACATTTTTTGGGGTGACTTTAAGACCTATAGGCTAAAATGAATGGTTTTGGTTATTTGTGGAAGAGACATCAAAAGATGTACTTTTTAAAGAGCAAATTTGAGCTTCTCTTCTTAACTAGAATCATATAGTGAACTTCTTTTACATTAATTTTAGGAATTTGTTGGGTGTAGGCCATTCTTCCCCTGAGGGGTAAGATTTTGAACATTGAGAGGAGGGATGAGGCAGCAATGTACAAGAATGAAGAAATTCAAAATTTGATTCTTGCACTTGGACTTGGGGTGAAGGTAGGAATTTTTTTTTTTTTTTTTTCTCATTATGTTACGTACTGAATCCTCTTGATTCCAGGGAGAAGATTTTAAAAAAGAGAATCTTCGTTATCATAAGATCATCATCTTAACTGATGCTGATGTTGATGGTGCCCACATCCGAACTCTTCTATTGACATTTTTCTTCAGATATCAGGTGGACACTGCTAAATATTGTCTATTTTTTGTTTCTTTGTAAGAATAATCAAAATTTGATATCATAGTTCTTCTATGCAGAGAGCCTTATTTGATGAAGGTTGCATTTACGTTGGTGTTCCCCCACTTTACAAGGTTTTCCTTCAGTTATTAAGTATTTGGTGAAGGTTACATTTATGTTTCTCTTCGGCTTTACATTTGTTTTCTAATTTCCTTTTCCCTTCCTGTTCCCCTTTCCAAACATTCAGGTTGAACGAGGAAAGCAAGTATACTATTGTTATGATGATGCAGATCTTAAAAAGCTTCAGAGTACATTCCCCCAAAATGCATCGTATAACATTCAAAGATTCAAAGGTAAAATTGTGTTTTTCAATATTTATAAATGACTGTTTGTTGGACTAACAGCCTGCTAATCTGCACCATTTTATATTGTGATGCATATGTCCTACAACTTAATGCACGATCTCTTATTTAACAGAACCCTCTCCAAATTTTAATTATTTTATTGTCTTCTACCAATCTTTTTGCATTTGTATGGTTGCAATTCAGGCTTGGGTGAGATGATGCCTGCACAGTTGTGGGAAACAACCATGGATCCAGAGCAAAGACTGCTGAAACAATTAGTTGTTGAAGATGCGGTTGAAGCAAATATCGTATTTTCTTCCCTTATGGGTGCCCGGGTAAGTAGATAATGCATGTAGAATATGTTTGATAGTTCAGATGGAACTAAGCACATCTTTTTGCCTATCAAAAGCATCTTTCTATCTGTGTGACCTTTTTGAATAATAAAAAGGATGGCATGGGGACCTAAGGATACACATTTGAAGTCAAATATTAAGTTCCTTAATTGCAACCTATTAAAGCAAAGTTCAGCACATTTTTATATTTTTGACATACCATTCTTTGTGATGAATCATGATTCCATGAATGCAACAAACCAAACCTAAAACTTCTTTTCTCAGGTTGATGCCCGAAAGGAACTAATCCAGAATTCTGCTAGCAACATCAACCTAGATCAGCTAGATATTTGAGTGTGAGGAAGCTCCTGCAAAATATGCTTTCTTACAGGTAAAATATGTTGGCAACTGTGACGCCAACCATTCGCCGGTGCCTTTTAATCCATCTATGATGGGTGCCATTTTGGAAAGCATCCGGTACTCAGTTTATGGCTACCCACTTCATGAAATTTGCTGTTTTCGTCGACTTATGGGGTGGGGAATCAATTTAGCTATGGGGTAATCTTGTATTTTACAGTGTAAAAATGCTTCCCCGAAGGTTCAAACCAATCTCACTTTTTCTTTTAATTAGTTTCTCCAACTCCTTTAACATCACTGTGTTGTATAATAATTTTTTTTTCTTTTAATTACTGTGTTCATGTAATTTATCAAAAATACAAATATCTTTGGTTCTTCTATACTCCCTCACATATCCGGATTGCTTACTGTTTACATCATAAATTACAAAAATCTAAGATAATGTCACATATAAAAATTTTTAAATGAATGAAAGAGATTAAGTCCCATGACATATTAGTTGTCACATTGGTAAAAAAGAAAGATAAAAGTAAGATTTTATCGTGTAATTATCTCGGAGTTAAAAGAGGTTGTTTTAATTATCTCAGAGTTAAAAGAGGTTGTTTTAACTCAAATTTAGGAGAAGATTGCAGTTACAAAAGGAAGTTACCAAATAAGAGCATAGGTGTGGTGAAATTTTGAAAGGAGATCTGATCAAGTTAACCATTAAACTGTCTTATTATCTCAATAAATCATCCACAATTTTGTAACTGCAAAAAGTGAGAAGTTACTATTGGTAAAAGGAGAACAAAAAGGAAATTTTGAAAGAAGAACACACGGTCAACCTTATTCAAACACTGTAAATTTTTAGACTTTCATTTTTTCTGCAATTGCTTTCAGATTTTAAATTTCAACACAATTTTTAGTAGATTGCTTTCAGATTTTAAATTTCAACACAATTTTTAGTAGATCTATGTTGTTTTTTATCATCCCAGTAGACAAATTAATTTATGTTTTCGCTTCAACAATTTCGTTTCATGCAATGAATTTCAATCTTTCGAATTTTTTCAAGGTTATGTTCTTTTTCTGTTTGTAATTAATTTAATATTTATAATAAATAGCATTTCTTCAATGATTACTTATATGACGTTCATGCTTCTTCTCAACGTCAAACATATTAGTTATTTCCTGTTCATGTTTGTTTTAATTTTAATTAGAGTAAAATCTCAAATTTTGTAACAGTTTATTTTCTAGATCTGTCAATAAATAATATTTTAATTTAATAAAAAATATGTTTAATTTAATTTGAGTACATCTTGTTTGCGTAAATTTACTTTAAATTACATGTTATTTAGTTTAATTAAGATTTGTTAACTTTAATTCATGATAGTGTTTAAAATCTTGAAGTTATTCAAAGTAGATTTCATAACCAATTATGCAAGAAGGTATCATTTCCTCTTGTAAGTTGTCTATAGACATAAATTTTAATTTTAATCCAATATTCTTCAAACCATTCACAAAAAGTTCGACCATAAGAAAAGAGAGAGACATTGAAAAAATTCTTCTTTTTTATTTTCAGTAAAATAAACCACATGCCAATTTCACACGTTACGAGAGCATTAGAGAATTTTTGGGAAATGGTTATGTAACCCTTATTATTTTTTCTTATTTCATATTCCTATTAAAAAAAAAAATCTCATTGACCAACCCACTAGCCACTGACTTTTCAAGGTAAAAATCACGGCTGGGAATGTTAACAAAAAAAAAAAAGAAACAAGGAAAAAAGTTGGGGGGAATTGGGATTTTAAGAAGTGAAGAAACCAGAGATTGGTTGTAACTTGTAAGTTGACCAATAGAACCAGCCCGGACCTACAGCAAGAATAAAGAATATTCAACCACAATATACGAAATTACGAATCCCTTTGATTTCAGAATAGAAAACTGTTCTTCGATCAGGTCATGTGATCTCTACGATTTTCACTTATCAAAGAATGTTAAGGTTTCTGAGGTTTTCCAGGAAAGTTTCTCCTACAATGGAGCCAACCTTGACAAAGACAGCAGGATAACCCAGTGGAGCTTCTACCCACACTTCACAACCCGGTTTCTTGTACAGCCTTCCTGTCCAGATATGTTGCCAGGGACAAGTTTCTCCTGTTGGGAAATAGGCTTTGACATCCTTCTTGCCCTTGTCAAGCACTGGTACTACTAGGATCTCAGTACCCAACAAGAACTGCTGGTAACTCAACCTATGCACCTTATCATCATCTGGATAGTGAAGAAATAGGTGCCGGCATACAGGCAGGCCATTTTCAGCAGCTTCCTGTCATCTAGGTTTGTTAGATCTTCCAGTATAATTAATATATATTTGTAGGAAAATTGGTTTATATACATACTTTTTGTCATTACCTTTACTAGCTGGATTCTGTAGAACTTCCATGCTTTATACACTTTAGCAAACCGTGCAAAATGTGTCAGTGTTTTATCATTTGAGTAAAACTGGGTGTTGCAAGATGGTTTATTTCCCTGGTTGCAAATGACATTTTGATGATGATGATGATGGAAAGTATACAGCTTGATTGTTTCAATGTTTCAGGTAGCATGTCTTGCACTTACCTCATGTGTCCGGAACACAATGGTGAATGCATTTAGCTCCATCCATCTTAAGAGCAGCTCTTCACTTCGTCGATACTTGATTATAGGGAAGTTTATGGCACAGTAGCCTCCAATATCGCTGTGGTTAAAAGCATATCCAGAAAGACCACTGCTCAGTAGGCCTATGACAGCACTCTTTATACCATCATTAGCTTGCCAACTAACCATCTGGTCTCCTTCCCAAAACAGCATCCCCCATTTAGGACTATCCCTGAAACCAGCCCTCATAAAGAAGACCAAGGTCTCCTCTGGATCTTCTTTCTCTTTCCCAACACTGTTAATTTTCCATTCTTCCACAAATTCACGGTTTATTTGTGCCCATAGCTCTGCATATCTGTTGTGTGCTGAAATAGGATCTTCACCTGAGTAGAGTGTGGCATCCATTGGCAGGCCTTCACCAAAATCAGCCATCCATCCTCTGACTCCATCATCCACCATTTCTTGTAAAATCTGCTTGAACCAACCTGCAGTGAGCGGGTGTGTCAGGTCCAACATCCCCACATCGAATGCTGTATTTGGAACCATGTATGCTTCTCCATTCTTGTCTTTCACCAAGATGTCCAGCTTTTTTGCTTCCTCAAATAGATTTCTCCTTCTGTTTGGCTTCTCATCAGTCTGCAAAAGATACATCAGGGACTTCCCCATCTTGGAAATTGGATGAGAGAAAAATTGCTGACACTAGCGTTTCACAAAGAAATGATGGTTACAACCTAATATAGCAGTGAACAAGATAAGTACCAGAGCCAGACAAGGGTTGCAGTATGTCATCACTTTGATATAGTGAGCACTCAGATCTTTAACCAGCTGTTTCCATCCTTTGTACCTTGTTGTGTCCACTTCCCAGTTCCACCATAGTTGTGACCCAATAAATGTTTCTCTTTGCCCAACCCAGTCCTACTCAACAAAAGGTCAATGAAAACAGGTACACAATGGTCTAGAATTTCTTAAACCATTTCACCCGGGACATACAAAGGTTTAATTGGGCACTGGCATTACCTGCAACCAGAATGCTGAAATGGGAACCTTATATTTTTTCAATTCATCCCACACGCAGCGTACAGCTTCTGTGCCACCCTGCATTCCGACCACAGCTCCAGATATTATCCATTCAGGGAGCTCAGGGGGCCTCCCAATGGCTCCTGTGAAGTGCTCAATGATCTCAGTGGGTGAGTTTCCGTGCAATATCCGTCCTTGAATTGCATTTCCATGTATCTGCAAGCTCCATTATAGAGAAAATGGAAAACTGCAATTTTAAATATGAATGAGCTTCAATCTGTATTTAATCTCAAACTTTTTCCTCCCCACTTTTACTTGATATCATTATTTCTTCATATCATAGTTCTTATAGTAGTTTATTTCATGATGAACAAATTTCCATAATACAAAAACATCTTCAACGATTTACTGTTTCTTCTAGAACAAAATTGTTACTTCTATGGTTTGCTATGGTCCTATATCTGTTACTCCCTGGTTATTTCAAGCTCTTGATTAATAACTAGATTATGCTTTGCTTTATAAACGTAGTTGCCCCTAAGGCCAAGGGGGTATCTTAACTAATAAGAGCTTGAGACAAGATCTGAGGTTCGAACCTAGAGAGATAGGTGTGGTAGGGTTTGGGAAAAGGGTTGTTGTATAACCTATCGTATGTACCAAAAAGAAATAATAGACTGTTGTAGTTTTCAAAGAATACCTGTATTTGGACTCTCTCTTGTGTTGTTAGGTCAAATACAGAATAGTTGTATCCTTCCAAGTAAAGAGACCTCATCTTGGATGTCATGTAGAAAGGAGAAGGAGCATAAGTTGTACTCCAATCACCTCCTGCCCTGCAGCAAAGTACAAGGCACTGAAATCAAATGCAAGAAAATTGTTTTAGATAATTGATGAGGAAGCAGCAGTGATACCTGTAGCTGACCAAATTAGCTGCAAAAGTAACAGGTTGATCTCCCCTTCCAATTCCCTGTTCTTGAACAAAAATAGGCACCCTTTTGCCTTTAAAATCCATATGAGAGAACTGCTCTCCGAACCCAAAAAATCTCTCATTTCCTTCACTTGCATACGTGAAGCAAACCCTGTTGAACTCAGTGGAACCTGCAGCAGCAGCATTCAACTCTCGTAGTTCCTCCTCCGATAAGGAAGCTGTCACAAAAGCTCTTGGCCTTGTAAAGAACCACCACCATCCTACTACCTTCCTTTTCCAAAACTGCCTCAGTTTCCCCCTCAAGCGTTGGTATCTTCCTGTTGGGGAAGCTCTCTGGGGCAACTCAAATTCTGGCTGTCCAATCTTCACTTTGAATCCAATTTGGTTACTATTCTTTTCATCGAACAGGACCCAATACCTTGCAGAAACAGAAGGTACCTTGGTCTCGAACCGTATATCCTTATTTATGTCTAAATCGTGAGGCCTGTTGTTCTTCTTCCTGCTGAAAATGCATCCAGTGATTAGCAGAACGGGGAATTCTGCACCTTGCAGGTCCTTTCTAAGGTCTAATCCCAAATAGCCAGATGGAAAATCATGAACTTCAGCATCATGTTCATTGATCACTCCTATATATTCAACAGTCTGATGATGACACACAAAATGAACATCTCCATCTTTTACGGCAAAGGATCCCCTGCTTTCCTCCACCTCAGTTTCCGCCACTGCAGCAGACACAAAAGCTTTGCCAGGAATGGTAGACCACAGGGATTTTGCAGGATGAGACCGGTGAAAAATGGAGAAAACCCCACCATTTTCACTGCCCCAACGAAGCTCAAAATCCTTCCCAATGGAGAAGATTTGGTGGGAAAGTAGGATTTTGGAAAGGATAAAGAGATTGCCTTGAATGAATGGGAGAGATGGTGGAGGGGAAGGGAAGGGATTGTTGAGGTGGCTTTGGTGTTTTTTGATGATTTTGAGGGGAGACATTTGTGGGGTATTGAGAAATTCAATGGTCCACCGAATCCTGTTTATAGATTCAGATACGAACTGGGGCTTACTCTGTCAAGGCAGGTTGGAGAATTTTTTCCTAGTTTGTTTCTTGTGAAGAAGGATTCTTCTTTAATTTCACATTAAATTTTTTCCTAGTTTGTTTCCTGTGAAGAAGGATTCTTCTCTAATCTCTACATTACACCTTTCCACCAGTTTCTAGCACTTTCACAATCTTTCCTGTTTCCATCCTCTGATCTTCAACAATTTCTCTATCTATACTCAAAACTTAAAAGTCTCAAAAGCATTGGATGTGAAAGGTGCCATTACTTCCTATAGGCCATAATTTCATTGATTGCTCTGTTGTCCTCACCCCGCTTAAGAGGGAAGGGTTGGGAATGGAAAGCAGATTTTAGATAAAATAGATTTTCTTGTCATACTTCTCAAAAAAAAAAAAAAAAAAAAAAAGAAAGAAAGAAAGAAAGAAAGAAAGAAAGAAATGTCTGTAAAAAAATTTAAATATTCTTAATAATTCAATTGTATTCATGTATTTTTATTTACTATTATACTATATTTATAATGCCACATAGAATTATAAATTAGGTGGCATTTAATAAAACATAATGTGACATTAAATAAGTGGATACATATGATATCAAAGGTGGATTTCTAAATAAAAAGAATTAATTATATAATTACATAT